ACTTATCAAAATTTAGTGTTTAAATTTGCATCAAACAGCTCATAATGCCAGAGAGAAAAGCCTTTGGATTTGGAGCCTTTACACTGACTGCCGGCAGACTGGCTCTCAACAGGGGCACAGCCAGAGCCTTGGCAAGGAGGGGCGGGCAGGCACAGGTTTGTTAAAGGGTCCTCTGACAGTAAAAGGGCCTCCAAAACATTGTTGCATATGATCCATTTGCTATTGAGAACATGTTTTTCTACACATTTTTGCTATCTTGAACAGCAGAAAGGCCTGATGCTACTGCAAGATCAATTCTGCCCTAAGTTGACAATAAATGAACTGACAAAATCATATGTTCAGTGACTGCATGAAATAAATTGTGAGCATTCTGTATTTTTCAATGGTCTAGTGGGCTCTTTTAAATGTATATAACTCAAGAATTTTTTTCAGAATTTTTCTGTGGGTTGTATAGAGCCCAGCAAGGATTCTGTGAATGTAAATCGGAGATCGAAATGGGTCAACAATGTGTATTGACATGGCCAAGCCATACTTGTCTGGATATGTTCACCATTTAGTCAGAATTGATAAGTGGTACAAATTATGTGACATAGGTTTGAGGATGTGTGCTTACATATCTTGGAAACAAAAATCGACGCCAGGCGTTGCAGTCTCCCGAGTTCGGCCAGGTTTGGCTCCGTGACTTACACTGGGTCGTGACCAACAAGTGGGAAAAAATGGTGCCGTATCTGAAATAAGTACCTTCCAGCGCTTTTTGGCTTCAAATCGTACATTCAGAGATATCCCGGGTGTATTTTTCACCTGTGCGGTTTTTAGATTGATGACAATAACGTGTTGGTTTCTACAGCGCCGCGAAGTGGTGCTGGAATGTGGTTGTGGAACTGGAAGAGTAAGGTAAAATCTGTATTTTATATGTTGGTTTAATTGTTAATCTCTTCATAGGACAACATCAAAGTTGTTAAAAAAGTTTTACCCAGCGTAACCTTTCAACTGTACGAATTCATTTTGAACGACATTAAGGAACATTATTTCACAACGTTCATTGTTGCGCGCTCGGCGCCCGCCCCCTGACGTTACTTGCAGCGGCCAACGCCGTTCGGTTTTGCGAAAAGTGCGACGCAAGCAATCGTTGTCCTTGCCCCCCCCCCCCCCCCCCCCGAGATTACGGGCGGGTCACGGGGGCTGTACGACGCCCTGAGCTGCTGGAGCTATGTCGCGCCGCCAGGCTCTCACCCTGGCAGGAAGCGCGGGCACTGTGGGGAATCGAACCCCACACCTGTGGTTTCGAGACGTGCAGTGGTTAGCGTAGGCGTGTTCACAACACTGGCGGCACCCGGCATGCGGGCTAAAACCTTTTGAGGTATTTGCTTCACTGGTCGATTCTGCAAAATAGTGAAGGTACTCGGGGAAACACGGGATGGCCTTGTGCGTTTTGGACTCATTTCGACCCATTAGATCCAAAAGGGGTCTCTTCAACACTACTGAGACCCCTTATTTCTTCCTGGTAAAGGGACCATCTTAAGTGCACTAAGGGCACATCGTTGTTCCCGGTCAAGGACTGCCGGGCCATTCTATCCCACCGCGGTGTGTTTTCCGGCCGTCATTCTGGCGACACAGGGCGGTATCCCCTGGCCGATCCGGAGGCCCTCAGACCTCAGAGGGATACATCATATCTTGCTGGTCCGCTCCCTGACGCGGGAGGCCTTTTGACCCGCGCAGTTGACCCTGGATCGACGCTTGAGCCGTCATTAGTGCAACAACATCCCTGCTCGCCGCAGGTGGTCAAATAATTGGCACAGTTGGGCCTAAGCTCCAGCTGGGCTTAACGGGCCCCATACTGGAATAGAGTTGGAGCGCCCACCGCTCGGTACTGGGGGCCTTGGCTGGCAAATGACTCCTCTGTTGCCTCAGTGTGAGTACTCATCACAAATTCTTGTTTCCTTCAATTGTTAGAGGGCCCCGACCAACGCAAGAGACCCTCTGCCATTTGGGCTCCTGTCGCCGTCCCTGGTGTGCAGGTCTTCCCGTGACCGAATCGAGGCCCCTTATCGGCACAGAACGCCCTGTTAGGCACTAACCTCCTGAGCGGTGCAGCAGCCCGACCATGTAAATCGCGGGTCCGGCCTTGTCCCTGCTTGGGAAATGGGCCCCCAGAGCGCAGACTAACACGGAACCGGCTGTTCGTTGTTCGATGTCTCTGTTCGAAATAGAGGAGCGCTCTGTCTCAGGGATCCCTATGGGTGCAAGAGATCATCTTACTGACAATGGAAATCACGGCCCTGTGCGCGGGGAACTTTAATGTGACCTACAGCCAGCCCTTCGGGTCCTTCAGCCGTCCCATCAGGCCCCTGATCTTTGGTATCGAGAGGGCCTTCGGCCCCTCTTCGGGCCCCCTCAAACACCGCTCCGACCCGGGTCCAGTTGCCACCACAGGACCCCTGTTCGGCGCTGTGGCCCCTTACGGACCAAGGAGCCCCTCATTGTGTCAGGGACCCTGAACGTTTCAAATCGCGGAATCGGGCCTTGTCTGCTTGGGTGGGTTATGGGTCTCAGCGGCTCAGACGGACATGGAGCCGACTGTCCGATGTTCGTGGTCCCTGACCGACTTAGACACCCGCATTGTCGTAGGGATTCCTCAAACGATGCTAGAGGAGCTTTGACTGATGTTTCAGGTCACTACCCTACGGGCCGCGATTCTTTGTGACCTACAGCAAGTCCTTCGAGTCATTATGCCCTTCAACCGGGCCTTTGATCATCGGTTTCTGCGAGCCGTTCGGGCCCCCTCTTCGGGTCTCATCAAACACTGCGTTTGGTCGGCGCGGGGCCCCTTGTGAGCACGGGACCCTCTGTTATGCACTGTGGGCCCCTAACAGATACAGAGGCCCCGAACAGTGTAAATAACTGGCCCCGGCTTTGTGGCTGATTGGGAAGTGGACCCTCAGGCCCATACCGACAGGGAGCCGAGTGTGCGGTACTGGTAGTGCCTGACCAACATATAGGCCCATATCAACTCAGGGGCCCCCGATCGACGCGAAGGGCCTTCTGAACGTTATTTGAGTGTCAGTCTTCGCGGGTCGGGCGCGCAGGTCGCGTCGGTCTTCGCACAGGCCCCTGAATAAGACTCCGACCAGCCCTTTGTACCCTTATACCCAACAGTCGGGTCCTTGATCGTCGGACCCGTGGGCTCCCTAGGCTCTTTGAGCCTCCTTGAACACTGCCTCTGGTTGACTTGGGGCCTCTTGACACTACAGGGCCCTTGTTAGGCGCTGTGGGCCCCGAGCAATGCAAATCGCTGGCTCCGGCTCGGCCCCTGCTTGGGAAATGTCCCCCTCAGGTCCAATGCCGCCACGGAGCCGACTGTGCTTTACTGGTGAAGTCTGACCGAAAAATAGGCCCCTATCGACTCAGTGGGCCCTGATCAGCGCACAGGGCCCTCTGGTTGGTATTGGAGTGCCCGGCCCTGCAGGCTGGGGCCCCTGAATGAGTGAAGGATACCTTCGGCTGGCTTTCCGAGCTCCTTGGGCCCTCAAATCGGACCCTTAATCGCATTTTCAGAGGGACCCCGAAGGGCCCGTCGGAACCCTACGGGAGGAAGGGGACACGTGCCCCCTGTGCCCCCCTGCCTGGGCTACTGGTCCCCAGTGACAGCAAGGCATCTTGTGCGGTGGTTTTCGCGGAGTGGGCTGAACTCTGCAAAGCATACTGCCTCAAACTGACAACTGAGCAGTCAGTAAGCAAAGACATTACTGGCTGCCGAGAATGCAAGGTCTCCCCTCCAGCACTCTTAAGTCTGATACCCCAAAATAGGCCTCAGACTTAAGGGCTCAAAATGTTAAAAGGGCTAAAAAATGCTCAAGGACCTAAAAAATGTTCGAAGTACTCAAAATCTTCATCCTGGAAGGCTTTCCTGTTGTGCAGGCTGACAGCATTCCCATGGTGGGCCATCTTTATGCCCTCCCCCTATCACTTAAATCGCATAGGGACGTCTCCAAAGTGAGGAAAAGCAGACCCTTATTTGGTTGCTAATGTCCACCATAAATGCAACGTCTTACCTGTGTTGTTGGATGGAATTATGCGTCCGTATTGTCGTTATTATGTTTATGTGCATGTGTTTGCGTCTCTTCTAATCTGTCGGTGCTCTTGGATAGGAAAGGCATTAAGGGGTCCTTTTAAATTTTTTCAGTCGTTTGATAAACCCGATTTCAAACCTAACATACCAGAAACTGTAACTGCCAAAATCCCAAAATGTCCCAAGATCAGGATCAAAATAATAAAGTCAGCCGCAAAGTAAAAAATGAGAATCAGCAACTAGGGCCTGGACAGGTGGCACCAGCCGTCCTTAAAAGCGGTTCAATGTACCCAGGCCTTGGATCAGCCTACCATATGTCAACACAGTTTTTCGCTAGTAATGTGTCCTGCCTGTGTTCACAAAGCTGTTTTATCTCCTTCCCTGAATGGTTGTTATCCTTCCCTGAATGGAATGGTATATCTACCATGAATGGTTGTGTTCCCTAGCAAGCTTCACACGGCTCCCTTAAACTGTGTCACTCTGTTCGTGCGGATCATTATGTATCAGCATGGATGGGTCGTCGACGTGTCAGCAGCTTATAAAACAAACTCGCTGCAGGCCTGCAGCACTCCTTGAGCCTAAGCCAAACTGATTGGCGGCTTTCCCGTCACGTGGCCATTTATAATACTCTCTCATATGCGCTGATTTCCTACTAACAAATTCACTCCATGATGCATAATCTATTTTCACCACACATTCGGGCAATGTAGCAGAGTAAAGTACAAAAAGCCGTGTGACAGGAAAACGTTAAATTAGTGACGGGACTGGGCTTTGTTATCATCGCGTTCTCGACTGTGAAGTGCCCGTATCCAAGGTCACACAGCCCACGCGCGCTGGCCAAGGTTAATCCGGCTTGAGCGCCAGCACCAGCTGTTGGCGCGCCGCCAACACCGGACGGTGGGAGAGACGGGTCTCGTTTTTGTGCCGCCAGCCGTGCCGCTGAGCCGTCGGCCCGTCAGTCGTCGGCCGCAGCTGCGCAGGGCCGCTAGGCTGCTGCCCTGAACCAGGTGCCGCGGGCAGCGGCTGTCCCGGTCACCGCGAGCGGCGGACGGCGACGGCAGGACTGGACAGCGTGTGTCCCGGTCACCGCGAGCGGCGGGCGGCGACGGCAGGAGCAGACAGCGTGTGTCCCGGTCACCACGAGCGGCGGACAGCGACGGCGGGACTGGACATCGTGTGTCCCGGTCACCGCGAGCGGCATGGCGATGCCGGAGGGCGGCGACGCCGACAACACGCGGGTGATGGGCCAGGCGTGGCGGCTGGCCGCCTGCCTGGCCTCTTACCGGCTCGAACCGCTCGTGTTCGCCTACGCGCTATCCGTCACCCTCATCATGGCGACGTCACAGGTAATGTCTGGGGCCTTGTGCCTGATTTCCTCCTTCAACCACCCTGTCACAGGGGGGCTCGCCACATAGCACGGTATGTTGGGCCAATGACTCAATTCAGCACGAAGTTCGTTGCTGCCTGTGTGATGCGTTTACATGCCGCTGAATGCAAGTTCAAGCTGTGAGTGTTACGCTTTTACCTTGTCGTCAAAACCTCGGGCCTGCCACTCGGCCTGGTTCACTGTGTTTGTCTCTGTGCCTCAAGGTTATATGCAGTGGCATGCGCTGGCAATGGCATGTGTCACGCAACCTTTTATAGGGGGTTGATTCGAAAAAAAGAAGTACGCTTGCATTTAAAAATAAGTTGTTTTAACAAAGGATTATCGAGAAATAGCTAATAAGGACAATTGCAAAACTAATTCTGGAGTAATGTTTGTATTGCATTGTTTGCAGGACAGTAGCTGGTATCAGGGAACTTGTTCTAGCAGGGCAACCATGTTGTTAAAGCTGTTAATAAGCTGTGAAATCCCCTGGAATATGTAAGAAGTCTATCATGCAGTTAATATATCTAAATGTTGTGTTTAAACTGAATGTCACATCTTGTTCCTATCAGGAAAGTAGGCATGGCTGTTCAACTCTGGGAAAATTATGGTAATGAAAAGCTTGGCCGCTGGAGGATGGTCCAGTATTGTTTTATCGGAAGCAGCCAGGGGTGTAGCTTCACAAAATGAGTCGAGGGACGAGCTCAGCAGTGAAAAATGACCCAACCTCCCCTCCCAAATACGCCAATAAAAAGGACTCCCCGGATTTGGCCCACTTTCTTCCAAATTTGGGGGCTGGAGCCTGTTTGGCGGCTGACGCCCCCCCCCCCCCTCCCAAACGAGTAGGAAACGACACCCCTGGAAGCAGCCATGGTGCTGCTAAGCACAAAGCAAAAATTCAACCTGTCTGTTAATACTGGACAACAAAGGCCATTGTTTGGACGCGGCGTCTCTTTCGAACGCTGCACAAAACCCGCGATGCACCTCGCCGAAAGTAAATCCTTCAGCTGGTCCAGAAATCCCCGGGGATGGGTCTTCAGTACAACGTATTCAACGGGCAGGGACCGAAAACGTGGCAGAAATGACCCGGAACGTATGAAAAAGGTGATGTCGGCTTTAAACAATAAAACTTCAAATTAAAAAAAAAATTCAAGCCCGTCCAGAAAATCGTTTGCGAGGTCCAAATAAGCTTCTTTTCAGTATGACTTATTCGTCAGTACACAATCAAATTGATCCCGTGCAACATCACTGCTCACCAGACGCTGGCTTTAGCTGACAACGAGCTGTAAACAGTTTTTTTTTTCTAGCAAAGGTCGCGTCGACCCAGAGTTCCTGAAAAGTTCAGGACTTGGACGCGCTAGCTGTTGGTCCTCTGCGCAGCTTCAATGTGACTGCCTGATGCGTCATGGGTGCCAGAGAGATCGTTAGCCCTCTTAGGCCATAAAAACGGACGGCACATGGTCATTATCACGAAGAAGCAACGCGCAAAAACTAGACAAGTTCTGGACTCGGCGGAAGAGGGACCTCGTCTCATCCGGATAGTGCCGGATTTCAGCAAGATGGCGCCACCCTACATGCGTCAAATATGACCCGGGTTTGGCTTGGTAGTAGCGACGGAAGGAACTGTTTTGTCCAGGAAATTTCGGCCACTGCGTGAAGCGCTGCGCTAACACTATTTACGAATTGGCGCTGCAGCGTGCAGAATCTTAAATAATCTATCTCACCCCACTTCAAAGAACTTAATCGTTGGAGCGTGGGCCGCCGCTGAGAGCTGTCTGCGACAAGCTATGTGTAAATCTTAAGATTTTTCAGTAATGGTAGTCATTAAAGGAGGGTCCTGGCTTTGGGACACGTTTCCAAAAATGTTCTGGTGAAACCGCAGGACTATTTGCGTCTATTAATGGCACTGGCTAGTGTCACTGCAGCACCATCGAGATATAACAACGGTATACATTTTGATTTTTGCTAGCCCAAATTACATTGTGAACGTTTTGCACAAGTACTACACTTCTTCCTTTCATGGTGGCCCCAGAATGTATCCCGAGTCCGCAACAACTGCAGTTGGCGCGACCGCCGTCGTCATGACGACAGAATCCGCTGAGTGCCGTTGTCAGCTGTCACAAGTTAGAAGCATCACTTTTCAATGTCCCCACTTTTGAGCTGCTATAATTCGCACATTGCGGGCCAGCGGGCTTGAAAGTGACACCTCCACTGGTATGGATGAGGTCAGTACAAATGGACGTTTATAAATGACACGGCGGGCGGTAAGGCCAGTTACCGAGTAGTGCGTGGGTCGAAGCTTGAACCAATGCGTCACTATAGACCACATGACGTTCCGTTTTAGAAACCCAAATTGTACTTCGAAAAGAATCGCTGTGGTAAAAGCCATAAGGGAGAAATCAGTGTCATGTTGTAACGTTTCGCTAAATTCGCGAGAAATTGGCCTCATGTTTGCACATGTTTTTCTATAAGCAGAATGTTTTAGGCTTTCATACCATTTATCTCACAAATATTTTGACATTCTAGTGCGTTGAAAGCAATACGGAACACACCCGTTAAAAAAGGAAGGCGAGTGAAATGTATTTTCATGGTGGTAAGCAGGGAGTCTAGTAAGATTTCTCCCGCAGGAGCAGCTACGTCAAATTGAAATTGTTAGGTATTCAGAAGGATCTCGAGAAAACTGGCAACACCGACAAAATCGGACGCGTGTGGTCGAAAAATAAAGAATATGTACAGGAAGATAGCATTCTCCTTCTAAATTTGGTAGCGTTCAAGTACAATCTTTTGTCTGGTTTTGCTTCCTGCGTGTGTTTTGTATTAAGAGGATATGGCAAAATGTCACAGGTGTAACTCTGATTTAACACTGCTTACTTTAGTAGGCTGTAGGCGCCCAGTTTGTGGTGTTTCAATCAAGCGACTCTCAGCTTGATGCCCACTGAGGTTCTTCTCTGTGCACCATGCGTAGTCTCACTGGGCATGCCACTGAATTGCTGCACCCGTGGCTCTGGCAAAACAATCCCGCCTGTTATGCTGAAGGTTCGGTTTCACATAATCAGATTATGTGTCGGCGTGGTGGACAGCCGAAGCAGCTTTGTTGGCTCGCGCTCGAGATATTGCTCTGGTGCTCATGCGATAGTCTTGAAGAGCTCATTTACTTAGCCTTGAGCCATGTTTGGGTGATGTGCCAGAAACGAGCTGCAAGAAATTACGTCGCTTACAAGTGTACCTTACAATGCCGCCTTCGTGGTAAACGCGAATACCATATGAAAGAACGATATATGCCATGTGCCACTACGTATGTGTGTACATGCGCCGAAGAGGCCTGAAAATTCCTAAAGGTACATACTTGAGTACGAAATGCACGCATTTTAGATGAAACAGCGGGGCATTACCAGAGCAAGTGAAGTTCTGGCATACAACCTTTTTATGCAAGGAGAGGCGATGATCACGAAAAAGGACAAAATACATACTCTTGGGAGGAGGGGTAATCTAAACTGAGTTTGGCCGTTGGCCCGGTTGCAAGCTACCCCCCCCCCCTCCCCCCCACGGGGCCGAAGCTGCCACCCGCTACACTGCGTAAGAGATGTTCCAGACCCGGTGTCAGTCGGAAGACAGCGTACCCCAGGCCTGCTCAATTATCAGATTTAACTCTCTGGACTTCAGCTTGCGGGGTTTCCTGAAAGGTTGAGGGCGTGGGGAAAACTGTAAAGGGCACGTAAGAGAGCTATCGCGCGCGAGACGAGACCACATCATCACTCGAGAGATTGCTGTAAGGTCGTCGGAGAAGTCAGAGAAGATGGAAGTGAGCTTCAGTAGAATGACGCGCACCACTAATGTATCGTGTAATATTGACGGGCCCGCATGTCGCTTGTTTCATGCTGGATAAACTTGCACATGTTCCGTTTCTATAAGTGTACTAAACCTGACCCTGTGTTTGGAAAACCAGAGGTACGGGATTCGATTCCCGCGATGCTCGTCCTTCTTACCAGGTGAGAGGCGGGTGACGCGACATGGCCTGAGCTGCTGAGCGCGTCGTGGAACCCCAATGACGACAGCGTGTCATTTGCGCTCGTGTGCAATCCTGGAGTTCAGTTCATAATCGGTCAGAGGCCGTGCGCCACTCACCTCTGCCTGTCCTGTTTCAGAATCTCATCATGGACCGTGTGTGCACAGTCAACCTAGAATTCAACTCCAGCATATGCGCCAATATTACAAATCATCAGTACCTGGCCCAGGAAAATGATGTTCAGCGACTAGCCAACAAATTCGTTCTCTATAGAAGCGTGAGTCCATGCTGTGCATGACCTGTTTGGGGATCCGTGCAGGCGTGTGTGTGTGACATGTTCGGGATATGCTGAACGGATTTTATTGTACCTTTGTGATGAAAGGACGTACCCACTGCGTGATTCGTACGTTGCGACTGAATGGCATGCTGTGTTTGCTGTCAAACGTACGCACCTTTGTTGTTTTGGGCTTGAGAACGCACGACAGAACGCCTCTTGTGTGGCCGAATGCGTACGAACACAATGGGTCACTGTGGGTACGTTCTGTGAGGCCCATTACCGATCTGCATGAACCAGGGATCGCCTTGCTATCTCTCTAAAAAGCCATTTTGAGACATTCGCCTCTTGGTGTTTTAACGCAATATCCTTCCATGTATGGCACCATCGAAAAGTGTTGACAACTAATTGTTTTGCTGGAACAACCTGTTCGCCATAACACAAACCTCCCTGTTTGCCGTTGGTGCAAAGGCTCCACTGCCCAGTCTCAAAGTATATGCATGCATTTGCGCTAGGCTTTGCGCTGATCGTCGCGGCCCGCCCCAGTCCCAGCCTCCTAGCCATGTTGCGACCGCGCGCCCGCGCTCCCGCGGCCGGGGCCGGAGACACCCGGGCCTGCATGCCGGGGCCGGAGACACCCGGGCCTGCATGCCGGGGCCGGAGGCACCCGGGCCTGCATGCCGGGGCCGGAGACACCCGGGCCTGCATGCCGGGGCCGGAGACACCCGGGCCTGCATGCCGGGGCCGGAGACACCGGCACGTGTGCACGTCCCATCCTTGGGTAAACTCATCGCTTTGGTGGCCGCGCGGTCCAAGGACTTCTGCACCGGACGCTGATTATGTAAGCCGGACAGGATGCTATCATGGGGCCGACGGCTCCGGTTCCGCTGCATGTAATGCGCACTGGTCTATGACTGGCTGGGGCCTGCTCGCGATCTCCCGTGCAGTGTGTGTGTGGGGGGGGGGGGGAGGGAGGGGTCTGCCTTCCGGGTTCGGGACGGCGTGACGCGCGTCTGTCGAGATCTGGCAGGGTTCTGCGGTACCGGCTGTCGTTTGTCAGCCAGTGGTCGCCCAGCGCAGATTCGTCAGGGCTTGGTTACGTGGCGTGTTCCCGACTTTGCATTAGTCGTTGGGCAGCACCAGCGTAAGACGGAATGCAGCCAGTTTGGTGCCGCAGCTTGGTGGCTTGCGGTGGCTTGGCTGCCTGTGCCCTCGTTGCCATTGTCGTCCGTGCGCCCCGGCACCCGCGGTATCAAGATACGCTCCTTTGTTGTATTCTTGTGTGTTTGATGAATACTGTTAGCCTTACTGTGTTTTTAGGCATCAGACTGTTCTGTGGGTTTGACCGAATGCTTGGCTCTCGTAGTCCGAATATGGACGCTGTGCACAGACTGGTCTCTTACTTGCCTGCTCCAGTCTCCTGGGGAATATTGACAACCAGTGGTAGGGTCTCTCGCACGGCCTAAATTCGGCATGCATACCGCTACAGGGGGCGTGGGCGACAGCTTAACCCTTGATATTGCAGCCCTCGTGACAGTATGGAAAATGCCTTCCCCTGTCGTGTGCCGTTGTCCAGACCCATCCGAGCGTGCCCCACAGTCTGCCTGTGCCAGAAGCACCGTGGCCAAGGCGACTCCTCCCGTGCCGCCAGCTGATCGAGGTGCTGCCGAGCGTGCTGTTCACGCTCTTCATGGGCTCCTGGAGCGACTGCCACGGCCGCAAGCTGCCGCTCCTGCTGCCCATCGCCGGCTCGATTCTCACCTGCGGCGTGTACATCGCGTTCTCGGTCGTGAAGAATATACCAGCGCAGTACCTGCTGTTCGCCAGCATACCGCAAGGTCAGAATAGTGCGCTGAGGCTGACGTGTCGGTTAGGGGCTGAGGGTGTTATCACCCGAGAATTTGTATCTGCGACGTTTGGGCCGTGGGTGCTCTGCGTTGCTTCCCGGTCCGGAGTGAGAGGGGGAGACGCGTCACACGTGTGCTGAATTTTTACCTGTCATGTTTTCTTAAGTTGGTGCTAGCCGGTGGGTCTTTGCCTGCGATGTTTTCGTGGGCTGGTGTTTGCCGGCGAGTTTTTACCTGTGATGTTTTCTTGAGCTGATGTCAGCCGCTTGCGAGCGGGCGGCGCGTGTCTGTAGGATTCTCGTCGCTGCCGGCCTGTCCCAGCTCCCGATCGGGCCGTGGCCTGTCGCTAGCCCGCTGCTATGACGCTGCCCAGCTCTGTGGTGGTGTCGGCGCTCTAGCTGGCGACGCGTCACCGCCGCCCGTGCCGCAGCGCTGACCGGCGGCAGCACGGTGTTCCTGATGGCGTCCTTCAGCTACCTGAGCGACATCACCGGCCAGCGGGATCGGACGGCCCGGCTGGGCGTGCTGGATGTCTGTTTCCTGGCGCCGTTGGCCGTCGGCTTTGTGACGTCTGGCGCCGCCGTGCAGCGCGTCGGGTCAGTCGCCGGCTGCAGGCCACTCCCTGCCGGCCACTCCCCTCCGGCCGCTCCCCGCCGACCGCTCCCCAGCCGCTCCCCGCCGGCCACTCCTCGCCGGCCGCTCCCCAGCCGCTCCCCGCCGGCCGCTGCCCGCCGGCCGTTCCCCGCCGGCCGTTCCCCGCCGGCCGTTCCCCGCCGGCCGCTCCCCGCCGACCGCCCTCCGCCGGTGGCTCCCCGTAGTCTAGTGTGGCTCATGCGCCGAAGGTGACGAAGCGGGAGGAGCCGCGACAGGCTCGGCCATGTGGAGGCTTTGGTCTTGCCTTTGAACGGGACGTATGATGCGTCTAATGTGTGCAATTAGCCGGTGCAAATTGTAATGTCGATTGCTGAAGTGCCGTGTGTCTCTACTCGCGAACAATATCAGGTGTCAGTATAAGTCATAACCAGGCCATTCAAATATCTCATTCAGGGAATGGTTGAAAACAATTATTGAATGCTATTATAGGGTGCGCTACGTAGTACAGGACATTAATTAACCCGAAATGATTACGCGAAGGCGGAATGCTCGACGTGGCCACGCACCATGGTCGGCTGTCACTCACCGTCGGCCGGCGTGGGCGACCGTGGGCGGTATGTCAGTAACCGATACATCAAGTGGCGTTGGTTACGTTGAGTGTGTGTTTGTGTGTGTGTGTGCAGGTGGACGCGGGTGTGGGTGGGTCTGCGCTGTATCACGCGTGCGCCGCCGCCAGGTACGTGCCGCTGTACTGCGCGTCCGGCGGTCTGATGCTGCTGGTGCTGCTGTACGGCGCGCTGCTGGTGCCCGAGTCACGCTCGCCCCAGCAGCTGGCCTTGTCTGCGGCCGCAGCCGGCTCGGTACGTCACGTCACGTCACGTCACGTCACTCTTCGTCTCCCCCCCCCCCCCCCGAGCCTCGCAGGCCGGTCGCTCCCCTCACTCCCGGCACGGCCCGCTCCCACACCCGCTGCGCCGCCGGCCGGCCGGCCGTGCCGTCTCCGTCGACTGCGGACAGTAGGTACGGTGCCTTGGTCTCGCTTCAGTACTGGGACAGCCTTAGGGGCTCCCGAAACCGCGCAACCGAACTGTAGAACACAGACTCTGATGTCCAACAACGGAAATGGCCTGATTGCGAAGCGGGGGAAGAGATCCCTGACCTTGCGTGCATCGCGTCAAAGCCCGGCCGCTGGCTGGGTGTCACCCATCGGTCTCAGTGACTCAGCGGCTTCGTCCCTCCCCGGCCGCAGGTGGTGAGCAAGCGGAACGTGCGGCGGATCGTGCACACGTGCTTCCGGCGGCGTCACGGCTACAACCGCTCCACCATCCTGCTGGCCATGCTCGGCTTCATCGCACACGAGATGACGCTCAACGGTGCGCGCCGCGGCGGCCCAGCGGAATACGAACAATAACACAAGAAACGCCCCAACTCAGTGGGAAATTACACCCCTGGCGCTTGAGATGAGCAGTCATTGCATCGTGGGACCGCAGACCGTTGGGGCTACGCCGTTTGTGCTGTCTTCTGAATGTATTGCGTGACTCTATTTGTGTGTGCCCCTGGATGTGTGCCCCTGGATTACGCTCTTTTACGGCTTGTCCTCTATTGATTCATCCATAATTCAGTGAAAAGGTTGTGATGCTTAACATTTTTTCCTTACCTTGAAATCATTCATAACAGATATCAAGGAGTGGTGGTGGAAATTTCTGGCTACAAGCCGTTGGCAACTGAACCAAACAACACTGCGCATAGTTTGGTTTGTTCGACAGTGGCTGGTAGCCGATAGTTCACATCAGCATGCTCATTAGATGTTTGTAATGGTGCTTTTAATCCATACATGGTACGGGTATATATCAAAATAATAACTTCCGACGTCCCTGGCAAGACCACCTTCCTATATAAACCTGCAGTAGATTACAATAATTGATTGCAAAGTCATTGACAACCAGGATGTTTATGCTCGTTCATTTCCCTTGTCAAGTTAACGTTAACCCATCGACTATCGATGTTGGTCACGAATCTGATTGTTTGTAACACAGCGGTATAAAACACGGACGGCGCCGGAGCGTTTCACGGGCGAGGCAGAGGCCTCAGTAACGAGAGGGCGTGACCTCCTTTCAGGCGAGTCGAGCATCACTCTTCCGTACGTGAAGCGAGTGCTGGACTGGGACTACCAGGCTTACACGACCTACGCCTCGATCGTGCTCCTAGTCTGCATGGTCTGTGAGTAACGCCGCCGCGCTCCGACCCCACGCGAGCCGCTCTGGGCGGGATGACCCCGCTGTGACGTCATCACTGGCGCCGGGCGGACTGCTGACTGACGCCCGCCCTGCCCCGCAGACAACCTGGTCGTGCTGCCCGTGCTCAGCTACGTGCTGGGCGTGGGCGACTCGGTGATCGGCCTCGTCTGCGAGGTGCTCCGGATCGTGGGGCTGGCGCTGCGCGGCGTCGTCACCACCACTGGCCTCTTCTATGGCGGTGAGTGGCAGCGCCGCCGCCGGTTGTCGGCGCTGCCGGGCCTGGCCTGCGCGGCGTCGTCACCACCACTGGCGTCTTCTATGGCGGTGAGTGGCAGCGCCGCCGCCGGTTGTCGGCGCTGCCGGGCCTGGCCTGCGCGGCGTCGTCACCACCACTGGCCTCTTCTATGGCGGTGAGTGGCAGCGCCGCCGCCGGTTGTCGGCGCTGCCAGCGCAGGCTTGGCCTGCGCGCGGCGGTCAGCTGAGCTGGGCTGCCATCGGCTGGTAGTGGGCTTGACCAATCTTTTTCTCTGCGCTGCGAAGAAATGGTGCAAATAATGGTGGTGGTACAAAAATTGCGGCCCGTGAGGGATTGCCGAAGCGAATAAATGGCACGCACCGATCGATAAAACCATCTACGCTTTATCCCGAAGCAGAGCTAAAGCTCTGCTTCACATCCATAATCCATACTAAAAGCAACAAAATCCACCCAAAAGCCATGGGACATGCGAATCATATCCTCGTATACTGTCGGAAAGTGGAAGTACGCGCAGAGCGTTCTCATCCATTGTCAGTCTCTGGCTGTTTGTTTTCGAGGACGGCGTACTTTCAACTGCACGAGCCGCTCCCAAACAGCGTGACGTGGCCGGCGTGGGCCGCCCCCCATATTGTTATCGGGACTGGCTGGACATTGCTTTGCTTGCCCGCTGTCCGGGTCTTCCGCCGTGGCGGCCACTAAAGCTGCCTGTCGGTCATTAAAGCTTGCCGTCATAACCTGCTAAGTAAGCACATCCTAGGAAGCATATGCACGACAAATAGAGATGCAAGTGCGTCACAATCCAAATGGATGAGACCACGATATACTAATGCCACTAGGTCAGAAACAGCTATTCCCAAAGCGCGCTCAGCAAGACAGCCATTGTGCGACGTGGTTTTACCGGCTGCGACGTGGTTTTACCAAGCTCACGTACATTAGGTCCTCATTTAGCCTAACGTAAACACGTACGACACCAGTAAATCAAATTCTGACTTTGGGGGGGCGAAGGCGTGTGTTTCGTAAAGCGACATCATTGACTTGAAAGACAGCTCATGCCATTGTACATTTGACTGCTAATCTGGGCGGATGCTGAGAAATGTCATTGAAATTTGGACGCTAAGTATTCAAAACTGATGGGCGTCTTCAAACAATCACCTCGTGTAGTTACCGTGGTTAAAGGGTGGCTCAACGCCGCAATTTTAGCTTTTGAAAGCGTGCAGTAAGTAATTATACTGAGGACATATAGAAGCAAGCTATTTATTTTTGGCCACTTATTTTTCTCAATTGGCGCATCAAGTGATCCCATTTATCGATCGACTCCAACAAAAACTCCATTGACAGATTTTTTAAAATGCTTGCAAGCCACCTTGGCTCGCACCTTTAGTGGGTGGGCTGGATGGAATCTCGAGCGTAACATCTGTGGTTCATGGTGAAACAAAAGTGCTCAGAAGTCTCCGTTGTTGAGCAAATTCAATCTTTAAAGCTAATCGCGTAGCGGTGCCGTTTTGGTTGAGACGGATCTGGAGAGGGAAGCACAATATTTTTTTGTGATTGTTGTCGGACATTTTGGGTATCACTTTGGGTTTTACGCCGCACGAAACCAATTGGTCGGTAGCATTTTGCCATGAAAAACTGACTACCAATCTATTTAAAAGGATGACTTAGCCTCAGCGTATTGGTTTGCACGGGTTTGGTTGCATTTTCGCAATACGAAAACATTTGTCACCGAACAGAAAATCGCTGTTGAGGAATCACCGTCGTGCAACCAGTTTCGACGCTCCACCACCTTAAGATGCAACGGTGGAGCAGTTCAACTTTGCGCCAAAACGCTAGCTGAGACGGTGTATAACGTGAAAGTACAGTCCAGTTACGGGCGGACGAGTTTGGCTTTAGCTTCAAAGTTTATATTTGGGGTGAAAAATCGCACGTTTGGTCAGTTTGACTTTTGGTCGTCCCGCATTACGCGTTCCTTTGAGTGCGGCTGCTCCTTTTCAGTGACCATGATCGGCCTCCCCGGCTCCCTGGTGACCGTCGTGCTGCGCTCCATCATCTCCAAGAACGTGGCCAAGGAGGAGCTAGGTAATGTACCCGCGAGGAGGGGTGGTGGGACTGCGCAATGCGACCAGGTTGGGGCTGGATAGGTGGGTCATGGGAGAGCTGGGAACCGTAGCCAGAGTGGAGCTAGACGCTGTGAACAGGGAGAGGGGGGGGGGGGGGGGGTTGAGCAACGTGTCCAGGGTGGAGCTATGTAATGTAGACCCGATCGATCGATGGGCGTGCGTGTGTATGTTTACTCGCTGAGCGCGCGTAGGTGTGTTGCAGCGAGGAGGCGCCCGCGTACACACGTGTGGCGCTGGTGCCCGTGGGTACGTACTCCCGGCCTTATAACAAGCTCTACGCTGTACACCGAGGCGCCGTGCTCTCACACGCACACGCGCACACTACGGGGTGTGGTCCGCAGGCGTGGTGTTCTCGTTCCTGGCGGCGGTGGAGTCGATCTGCGCGATGGCGACGGCGTCCGCCTTCCTGCTGCTGTACAACGCCGTGCTGGACCGCGGGCCGGGCGTCGTCTGGCTGATCGCCGCTGGAGTCACGTCGCCCGCCCTGCTGGTCCTGCTGTAAGTGCTGACTAGGCTCGCGCCGCCCTGCTGGTCCTGCTGTAAGTGCTGACTGGGCCCGCGCCGCCCTGCTGGTCCTGCTGTAAGTGCTGACTGGGCTCACTCCGCCGAGCGGATCAGGCTCAGCAAACGCTCAGTCTTGGCTGGTCCTGCTGTGTCGGTTTGGTGGGCTCGGCTGGCCCGTTTGTAGACCGGTTCATGGTAGGTCTTACTGTAGGCCGATGTGCCCGGCTGGCTGGGGTAGACCGCTTCTGTGTAAAAGGGTCCATCTGGACTGGCCCTCTAGGTAGCCTGTCTGGGCTCCCTGTTGATAGTGATCTGGTCTGTTCTTACAGTAAGTGTGCCATCTGGGCTAGTCGTGTGGTAAAACAGCCGCTCTGTAACTGAAGTCGTGAGACGACCTAGTGGCAATATTTTTGTTTTACTCCTACCTATGTACTTGTCTCTTGAAAATGGCTTTAAAATGATTCTCCAAAAGGATCCTCAAGGTCTAGTTGCAAATCCCAAGCCATAAAAAATGGTGGGGTCCTTTGTCAAGCTGAAATTATCCTAAGCCAAGGTGGCAGACCATGTAGGGAAATAGTGGGAGATCTCAAGGCATCAACGCTGCTTTACTCATTTGGTATTCAGCCACTGAAGAGTGAGTTATCAGTCGCTGTGGACTATGGATGTACTGAGAGCAGGTAACGATATATCACCGAGGTCGTACTTGATATCTAGAATGTTTGAGAGTAACTGCAGATCACACAAATGGTAACTGGTAAAATGGTAGTTGTGCCCCCGTTCTGTTGTCACCATTGTCCTAGGTGCTCATTTGTTTCATCGCTGTTGTTGCTTTGAATATTTTTGACCTCCGTCGTATGTGACTAGCCATGTGCACTGGTTAGAGGACTGGGTTGCGCTATGTAACGCCGCACGACCCTGATTGAAAGGACCCTAGCGTGCTGACTTGCCATGAACTGCGTGGGATTTTCGCTCCGCGTGTTGCTACTGTTCATTCTGCACAGATTGAGCTTTTTGGACAGGATCCGGAAAAGCTACAAGAGTGACTTTATATTACATAACACGACATAAATCTACACATCCATCCTGGACACAAAATGGCTGCGGCTGTCGATGCGTCTCTAAGCCCGAATTAACAACGGGACTACCCTGTAAACAAACAGGACGCTCTTGGCGTTATCAGATGATCACCAAAGCCTTAAAAACAAGTTTATGAAGCTTCTGGTCTGGAATCTCTGGTTGGTCCTGAGTTTCCTCGCTGGGACGCTGATGTTCGTCGGCGCCGCGCCGTTGTGTCGCGGTACACACCTGCCACCTGAGCGCTGCCGCGGCCGCGCCGGCCCAGGACCGCTGCGTGGCCGCTGAGCCAGGCGGCGGCCGTTCCAGGGTGTGCCTGGTGCGGGAGCGGCGCGGCGACATGGGCTACGCCCAGGTGCTGAGCGAGCAGGAGGAGCGCGACAGACGCGAGGAGAGTCAGGAGCCGGAGGACAACACCGACGACGCCACCATATTCCAGCACTGAGCCGGACAGCCCGACCCTCCCCACGCTGAAGCCGGCGTGCAACTCGCACTGGAGCGTTGTATGGTATCTGCCGCAAAGCGAAGACAGGCGCGGTCCCAGTGGCCACGTAGTGGTCCATTTTGCAGGACGCGGGGCGGCGGAAAGCGTCACAGATGTCTGAAGGGATACGCTTACGCCGTACGGCAGTGCCTGCGCCTGCCGTGGTCTGTTTCACTGCTCGCGTGCCTTGTCACAGCGCTGGCAGTGCAGCGTAGCAGCTCTCTGTGGGACATGCCGCTGCCCTCAGGGATTGTCCATGATAGCGAATGTAACGCGCGCATAATTAAAAGCACCTCGTTCGCAGCTGATCACGAGGCTGGCCTTTTCATGGTGTGGTATGATGTGTGTCATTCGTTTATGTAGACATATCTATATTGCCTAATTTTTAAGATCGCATTTTTACACGGCTGTCGGTAGTTTGTAACTATGTGCTTATGAATTAGTGGAGGACTTTATACAGTAATGGATTTGTCCGTATGAATGGTTCTGTTTGTAGTGCTGTTTTTCAGCGCCACTTCCTTTTACGGTTGGCCTCACCCAGATGTCGGGGTGCCCATGAGCTGCGTCCATGAAGGTGCCCTGCCGCAAGACTTTCTACCAATTGTGCTTCAATCCCCACCCCATTGTGGGCGTGGTGGGCTGCGACTTATCGCCAAAGATCAAAGAACGGTGGCGGTCGGACCTGCAAGAGGACACGAGTCAACGGGCGAGACTCGGCTAGTCTCGGTGTGAAGGATCACACTTGTATTCCCGAAGCGCTCGGTAATTTTAGTCTACCGCAAATATATTTTACCAGGTGCTTTGTGGTGCGGCCTTTCAAGTATGGGCTCCATTGCGATGTAAACGAGGCGACGCGACGAGATTCGGGTGGCCTGACCCGATGAACGCACTACGCACAGACAAAGTGCCGTTGGCTCACAAGTGCTGATTTTATTGTGTTGAAGGGAGGTTTGAACGAGTGTTTTGCAGGGATGTCTTTCGGGCTAAGTCTGTTCTTCTGCGACCAATTGACCGGAGGATAACACGGCACATCCCTTAAAATGGCAAGAGCTCGTTGGTGGGGTAATTATATGGCCAAAACAGCATTCTGTGAGTTTTAGAGGCGTGCGGCTTACCGATAAGGAACTAGGAGATAAAAATACGCGATGGCGTCTCAAACCCTATTTGAAGTTGCGCTTACGAAAACAGTTCGCGTGCTATAAAGTTTGTGAGAAGTTCAATCAGATGGCAAAGTGCCTCTGTGATGGATTGTGTCAGTATTACATTCGAGGTCAGTTAGATGCATACAGTGACCTTGTTTGACCTTTCACCTAATTTTGCTTAAAAATGTAAGCCTTCAATTTCTCTGAAACCGGTATGCACTTGGAGACCAATATATCTTCGTTCAGAGTAAGACAGGAATCGACAAGATCTTGTCCAGACATGTCGCATATCGAACTCGAACATTGGCGGTCTCGCACGGCCACACGCCATGGGCCGGTCGTCCGGTGTGGGGTGACCGGCGCGGTGGGCTAACCCCGCCGAAAGCTGGGACTGTGACCTTAAGATCACTTATTACTATCTATATGCCAGTCACTTACGCATTCTTCCGAAATTCTAAAACATTGAATGGCAGATGTGTGTTATCGACCTACGTGCCTGTCGTCATTCACGAATCGGGTAGACGGCAACGCCTCGCGCTTGTAGCCCTCACAGCGCATCGATGACCATGATTTAAACCTGACGCGGAGCTCGACATGCGGGGAAACAAACAGCTGGTCTTAGGATACATTGTTTTGTCCAGTGAGGCCCTGACCCGGAGCAAAGTCGCCTCGTGTCCTGGCCCAGCACGCCTGTAAACGCGCGCATGAAATACGGATTACTGGGCAAAAGCGTAGTCATCCGCTGTTCCTGTCGATGTGATCACGCCAACGAGTTTGTAGAAACCACACTACGGCTACGAGCTCCGGATCAACGGCAGGATCAAGCTCAGCAACGGAAGAGCGAGACCGGAACGCGACATTACAATCGCGCGATTCATGACTGATTCATAATTCTCGTCGTCAAGATTTTGAGGTGCACTTTGTAACAATTGCACGCAATAATTTCTGCAGCTGGAGAAATTTCTGTCCGTTGATGTTAGAACACTCATTTCTCCGTCCATGCTCATGTTCAAAATATATCTTGTGAAACAATATATTGTATAACACATATTGTAAAACATATACATGATATATTTGCTTTGCAAATGCGAATGCATTATGACCGACAATAATATGTCAGTCACTTGCCTACTTTTTCATCGCATTATTCGACCCCTGGCCCTTACCGCACCCAGGTGTGTATCCAGAGGCTTGGCAGGAGAGGGAAACAGGGTTGGCAAAGTGCCCCTTTGTAGTAAAAGACCAAATGAAATTGTTGGATATGGTCAATTTGTTAATGAAAGCACGTTTTTCTTCCACATTTTCCTTTTCTACCTTCTATCTCTGTAAAAGGAGCCATAAGCTACCGGAAGACCAATCCCACCTGAATTTTATAGTCAATCAATGTTTATCAAATCAATATAATCACAATTAAGACCAATCACAATATGGCGAAAAGAAATCACACGTTAAACGACTGCATGCAATGAATCACCGGCGATCTTTACTTTAAATTGGCTCAGTGGACTCTTTCTGGCGGATAGAACTCAGGAGATTTCCCAGAATCTTTTTCTGGGCTGTACAGCGACATTAGAGTCAGTGGGGATAGGAATGGGTGAACAACTTGTTTTAACATGGCCAAGTCATGTTTGTCTGGAAATGTTCCACACCCAGCCAGAACTGATTGGTGATAAAAATAATGTAACGTAGTTTTGAGCATTCGCGTTGCGCAAATCTCAACAACAAAAACTTCGATACAGGCGTTGCAGTCTTCATAGGCCGCGCAGCGTCGGCTCTGCGGCTAACACTGAGTCGTGGCCAGCGGGTGGACAAAGATGGTAACGCGTATGAAGTAAGCACCTTTCAAAAATTTTAGGATATCAAACGGTACCATTTAAATGTGGTCGGGCGTGTAGTTCACCTGTGCTACTTTTAGAAACTTAGATTGATGAATTGAACGGATTGGCCTTTACAGCTCCATGAAGTGGTGCTGGAATCTGGTGGTAGAAGTGGAGGAGTGAAGGTCGAATCTCTAGCTTTTGTGTTGCTGTATCTGTTGATTTTTCCAGAAAATAATCTTAACGTGTTAAAAAAGTATGCCCAGCCTAATATTTAAAAGGTACACATCAATTTTTAAGGCTTTGGGAAGGCCGCCTGGTGCAGTGGCCAAGGTCGTTCGGTTTTACTTAAACTGCAACCCAGGCCATCGCCCTCTTGCCTTTTGAGACTGCGGGTTCGTAGGCTCAAACCTTTTGACAAATTATGTCACTAGCCGATTCTGCAAAAGCAACCACGTTCTCAGGCAACCATAGATTGGCCTCAATCATTTTTAACTCATTTCAACCCACTGTATTCAACACTAATAAGGTCCTTTATTTTTTCCGGGAAAGGGGCCCCCTTGAACAGAGCACCAGGAGGCACATTATTGTTCCCGGACAAGGGGTGAAGGGCCATTCTGGGCTGTCATTCTGGCGACGCAGGGCGGCATCCCCCAGCCGTTTTGGAGGCCTTCCAGACGTGGGAGGCCTTCTGGTCCGCGCAGACCACGGTTGATCCCGGACCAACGCAGGAACCCTCATGGACGCAGCAACATTCCTGATCGCCGCAGGTGGTTCGATAGAACCCAGTTCGGCTTAACGGACCCATGCTGGAATTCGGATGGAGGGCCCATTGCTTGATACAGAGGACCCTGACTCGCATAGGACCCTTCCATCGCCTCAATGTGAGCAATGAGCATACGCTCTCACGTTTCATTTCATTGTCAGAGGCCTCCGACCAACGCAAGAGGCCCTCTGTCATATGGGCTCCCGTCCCCGTCCCTGCTGCTCAAATATTCACCTGACGGACTCGAGGTCCCTTGTCCACAAACGACGCTCTGTTAAGCGCTGTGAGTCACTGAATGATACAGGAGCCCCGACCAATGCAAAGCGTGGATCCGATCATGTCCCTGCTCCGGAAGTGGGTCGCCAGAGCTCAGACCAACACGGAGCCGATGGTTGCTGTTAGTTATCTTTGCCGAAATAGAGGAACGCTCTGGCTCAGGTGTCCCAATCGGTGCAAGAGGTGCTCTAATTGACATTAAGCATCACAGCCCTATGGGCGGAGTCGTTAATGTGACCCTCAGCCAGCCCTTCGGGCCCTTCAGCCTTCCAATCAGGCCCTCGATCCTTGTTCTCGAGAAACACGGCCCCGCTTCGGGTCCCCCAAAACGCCGTTCCGACTCGCGGCTACTTGCCGACACAAGACCTCTGTTAGGCGCTGTGGTCCCTGACCGACACAGGAGCTCCTCATTGCGTCAGGGACCACAAACATTGCAGATCGCGGGCTCCAGCCTCGTTCCTGCTTGGAAAATATGTCTCCAGGGCTCGGACGGACATCGAGCCAACTGTTTGGTGTTCGTTGTCTCTGGCCGACTTAGACACCCACATGGTCTCAGGGTTCCTCAAACGGTACAAGAGGACCTCTGATTGACATTTTAGGTCACGACCATACCGGCCGCAAATTTTTATGCCACCAACAGCCAGTCCTTTGGGTCCTTACGCTTTCCAACCGGGCCTTTTATCATCGATTCCATCGGGCCGCACGGACCCCTCTTCGGGGTTATCGAACATTTTCCTTGGTCGGTTCGGGGCCCCTACAAGCATATGAACGTCTGTTCGGCGCTGTGGGCCCCTGAGAGATATATGGGCCCCGACCAGTGTAAATCACTGGCCCCCGGCTTCGTAACTGATTGGGAAAGGCCCCTCAGACCCATACCGATACAGAGCTGACTGTGCGGTGCTGGTGGTGCCTCACCGACATATAAGCCCATATCGACTCAGGGGTCCCCGATCGGCGCAAAAGGCCCTCTGGCTGTTATCGTCCCCGCAGACCGGGACCTCTGGATAGGACTCCGACTGGCCCTTCGTGGCCTTAGACCGTCGAATCCGGGAAAAAAGAAAGGGGACGATCGGGGCCCTTGATCGTCAAACTCGTAGGCCTTTTAGGCTCTCTGGGCCTCCTAGAACACTGCCTCTGACCGGCTCGAGGCCCTTGTCAGTGCAGCGCCCCTATCAGGCGCTGCGGGCGCTGGTAGACGCTGCGGCTCCGACTTATGTAAATCGCTGGCTCCGGCTTTGCTCCTGCCTGGGAAATGGATCCTCAGGCCCATGCCGTCACGGAACCAGATGTGTGTTGTTGATAGTGTCTGACCAACATATAGGCCCTTATCGACTCAGGAGGCCCCTGCTCAGCGCGCGGGGCCCTCTGGCTGGCATTGAAATGCCAGGTCCAGCGGGCTGAGATCCCTGAATGCGACCTCTAGCCGACCTTTCGGGCCCTTCGGACACTCGAATGGGGCTCTTAATCGTAGAGTGGGAGGCACGTGCCCCCTGCGCTCCCCTGCCTGCGCTGCTGGGTGGGCCCCTGCATTCTCGATCCAGGCTGCGTCTATGTGCGCTTGCTATTTGACTTCTGACTTGGATGATCTGCGGCAGAGGTTGTTCAATGTCATGTAGGTCAAAGGCAGGGTGACCATCCCAATGACGACGGTGTATTCAACTTTTTCCATAAAGCTCTGTCGTGGAATTGGAATTTCACAATAGGAAGGTGGAGCTCTAGCACACACACAACGATCCTGCTTTGCGTGAGCTCTGATCTCAAAATCGTTTAATCAAAACATTTGAAAGACAATAAAGATTACATTA